CCATAGTCCACCATCGTTCTGCTTTCTTCTTCAGGCAGGCTTCTTTTTGACCAAGGGTCATCTATATTTCAGAGTCCAGGGGGGAGAGGAGTTTTGGTCAGGAGAGGACAACGTGCTGACAGGTTATGCCTGGTTCACTCTACCTTTTTCCTCAAGGAATCTGCATTCTGTTGATTGGTTTGCTTTCACACTGAGGTCTGGCCTACAGAAGGCACACTAGAGAGGCTTTTTAATTTCTGATGGCTCAGAGATGGTGGGTTACTTGCACGGTTGTCATCTGACTGGAGTATTTGATAGCCAGAGAGTGATTTTTGGATGCTGCATTCAATCTGACTGATTCCCAGTGATGCTGCATCCCACATCCATCTGAAATGCTTGACAACGTCTTAAAGCTTTAAGGAATCCAATCTGTCAAACCTCTGGTTCATGAGAGAGGATGATCTGAGCATAGTATTTTTATGAGAAAGGGCTTTTTTGTGGAAAATCTGCTGTTGTTTGAGCTGCACTGCACTTTCGGTTGCCTTTTAGTGTCTTTGACTGGTTTGTGGAGTTTTGTAGCTACTTTCAGTTATTCAGGTTGTACGTTCTTATGAATAAAGGTTAGTGACACAATAGAAGAACCATTGTTGGTTCTTAAAAGAACCATTTTTTCTTACTGTGAAAAATATTGAAAAATATATAATATGAAGGACCTTTTTTCCCATTATGAAGAACCTTTTGTTTAATAGAAAGCTTCCATTGATGTTACAGTAAAGGTTCTTAATTGAGCCATGGTTAATTTTACTTTCAACACAAAATAATACTTGTAAAAATAACCCACTCTTTGCCTGACCTCATAATCGAACACAGCTCTTGCTCCAGGGCTTTAGTAATTGTTTGACAAATCAAGAATCTTCCTCATTCTGTGATGTTCCTGGGATTTGTGGCCTGACAGGTGCTATAGCAAAAGTATTGAATCTGAGGTCTGTCAATTTGAATCATTTAGTGTGTTTTCGCTGACTTGGCCTGTGTCTGTTGTTTCTTGCTTCCCCATTGCCAGTTCTACTTAAAAAAGATTCACCAAAGTTCACCCAAAAATAAAAATCCTGTCATCATTTTCTCACCCTCATGTCTTTCCAAAGTTGTATGACTTTCTTTTTTCTGTGGAACATAAAAGATACATGGTCTTCTTTTCCATTCAATGAAAGTTGTGAGCAGAGGCTGTTGAGGTACAAAATAGGACAAAAATGCACCATAAAAGTGGTATATATGAATATTTAAACTAGCCAAAACATTCTTTGAAAATAAAGTCATTGTGTTTTGTCATCAAATGGGTGGTTGTGTAATCTTTTTTTTCAGAAATGTAATGCTGAAGTAACTTGCCAGTTATTTTGTGCACTTTCTCCACCAGTGAAAATAGTTCCAAACAAAGCCACAGCAGAATTATCTATTTTGCATCTCTTATCACAAAGTTGTGGTGGTTTCGTTCCTCAATAAATCCATGTTTTTGAACGGTTCTGTTGAGTGAACGATTCATTGATCGCTCATAAAGACAAAGATAGTTTTTTTGAATGGACGATTCCCTGATTTGTTGCCACCTACTGGTGTAACCATGTAATCAACAGAAGTGGTCACTTAAAAATCCCCCCCTCTAATGTGCAGTGGTAGCCAAGATTATTAGAACACTAGTATTTTCACCAGCTAAAAAATGTTTTTTCAGTCAGTTATTTCTATATTTTGCTGTAGTGTGTCAGTAGGAAATATCAATTTACATTTCCAAACATTAATTTTGCCATTAAGCTACCTGAAAAACTATGCACAAGTGCACCTAGGGCAAAAACTGCTTTAAACGCAATGGATGGTCACACCAAATGTTGATTTAATTTAGTTAATAGAAGTTAATTGATAAAGAAAAATCTGTTTTTGACATTATTTTTGACAGCATCCTCATTTTACAGCATTTTTACACAAGTGCCTAAAACTTTTAACAGTACAGTAGCTCTGCAGGTAGGTCTCTTGAAGCATCTTGGAGACGTTGCCACAGTTCTTCTGGATTTGGTCTGTCTCAGTTTGTTCTGTTTCTTAATGTCATTCCAGACAGACTGGATGATGATGAGATCAGATCTCTGTGTGGAGCACTGGCTGTTCTCAGACTCCTTGTGCAAACAAAAATATCACTGGATTATTACAATTAATGGCAAAATGAATGTTCCTACTGACACACTAAAGCAAAAGATAGAAATAACTGACTTAAAACCATTTTAGCTGGTGAAATAGTGTTTTAATCATTTTGACAACCACTGTATTTTAAGTAATACAGGTTTGGAATGACATTTCCCATTTTTGCTTTTGAGTGAACTGTCCCTTTAAAGCTTTACTACCAAAAGATTCATTCAAAATGGGGGCGACCTCACCATGTAATCTGCCCAGAAATTTCTCTCTCTTCATGTTACCCTTTCATTAGCATTCAACACAGCAGAGCTGATTGAGATGACCTGCAATGACAATCCGTCCAATCAATGATTTTGATGCACTTAGCGTCAAGAGAGGCAGCCTGTCCAAAGAATGATGATTCTGTCATGACGTGCTCGCACTCAACTGCAAATTATAATGACGCCTGAGAGAACATTTGTTGTGTCCTTTTCAGGTGAAAAAGGCAATTACCAAGGCACAATTAATTTTAATTTTATAAATGTTCATTGTTTTCGTTTACGACAACATTCCAGCTCAACGTTTGATTTTGCCAGCCAACGGAAGGGACAATATAATTATTCAGATATGCATGAAGGCTTGGCTATTGAGCTGAAACAGAACTGGATCACTGGACTTGGAATACTTGTAAGGGAATATAAATCGGTGTGGCATACCTGTCTCAAGGCCAGTAAGACTGTAAGATGAATTTCTATGGTGATTCATTAATTGAAAAAATGACTCTGAGAAATATATGTGAAAGGAAAATGTAATTCAAAGAGAAAATAGAACAATAAGATGGGCTTCGAAGAGTAAATGCCAGAGCTTTTTCAAACTTTTGAATGCACAAACACCAAAATATGTGATGACCATAGACTTATTTAAATGTGGCATTTTAGAAAATAATCTTTTATTTTCATCTGTTGTTATTTTTGGTGACCTTTGATCTCCTGTGATCATGCTTCTCTTCGGTGCCGTGTAATTCAGCTATATTATACTTTGCACCTGTGGTGGCAATTTTAGCATTGGAGAGTCAGACAGAAACTTATTCTCTTGGCTAACGGGTGTAAAGCACTAATGGAATTCTAAAACCCTTCAATGCATTCCTGGAAGTATTTATATCAGCTTGATATCAGTGCTGAAAAATCTGCCTGCAAAGAAGCTTTCACCTTAAATCCTCTGAATCTTCAATAATTCAAGGGAAAATGTTACATTCTATGATATCTTTGGGAAGAAGACTATTAATTTCAAACAAGATGAGCTTCGCTGTATTCTCTCATTTACAAATATTATTAGGCATTTCTGTGATGGATGTCATGTATATAGTGGGCCGAGGTGCACAGCACTACAAAATTAAGTTAGTCCATTGATTTGTATGTGGGTGGTTCTTCAAATCTGGCACTTGTTCTAGAGTTTGGTTTGTACTGAAATACATCTCAATTTTGTTATGTAGAATATTTTTTTTTTTTTTTCCCTCTTGTCCAAAACCAAAATGTTTAATCTTGAAACATGAAAATCCATTTAAAAAAATGTATTCAGCCAGGATGCAGAAAGTTGATTAAAAGTGACAGGAAATACTTTTACATTGTTATAAATTATTTCTATTTCAAATAAATACTCAGCTGTTTTCAACACTGATAATAGTTTTTTTTTTCAACTGCTTACTCACATTTTCAAAACTTTGCCTCTTTTTTCAAAACTTTACACACAAATCCAAGAATTTCACACACAAAAAAGGAAATCAAGATACTTCCTGATAGATTTTTGTGTGTTACATTGTATGTTGCATTGTATTGTAATTGTGTGTTGCTTTTTGCAAAAAGTGTTTTATGAAATTGAAAACTGAGTCAAAGGCCGAGAATTAGTGTATGGTTTTGCAGATTTGGTGTGTGGATCTGGTGTTTGAGTGTCAGTGTCAGAAATTGTGTGACAGGTAAAGATTTTGTGTGTAAAGATGTTTCTTCTGGACCAAATCAGCATATTAGTATGATTTCTGAAGGATTATGTAACACTGAAGACTGGAGTAATGATGGTGAATATTCAGCTTTGCATCACAGAAAAATTATATAGTATAATAAAATAGGAAATTGTTGTTTTAGATTATCTTAGATCATATTTCACAATATTTGTTTTTACTGTGTATTTTATCAAATAAATGCAGACTTTGTGAGCAAGATACATGTTTTAAAAAACTTGAAAAAAACTGTACCGACCCAAATCTTTTGAACAGTTGTTTATATCTTCATATATTACTCAATTAGGGTAGCATTTTCATCTTACTGAGAAATTTTGCCCCAGTATACTTTTTCCAAAGACAAAGACAACAGTGTGTCATTTCCAATTAAACTGTAATTTTGTCAAATTATGCAAAAAGTGTGACAATATTTCATTTGTCTGCAGTTAGTATACATACGATGTTAGGTATGAAAATAGTGGTAACACTTTAGTATAGGTACCAATTCTCACTAATAACTGGTTGGTTATTAGCATGCCTATTATTAACATATTGGCTGTTTATTAGTACTTTAAAACACATATTGTGCATGACCATATTCTACAGCCCTAATCCTACACAATACCTAAACTTAACAACTACCTTACTGACTATTAATAAGCAGCAAAATAGGAGTTTATTGAGGTAAACGTCATAGTTAATGGTTTGTTAATAGCGAGAATAGGATCTTAAAATAAAGTGTGACCAAAATAGCCTTAGCAAGACAAATGAGAATTGTTCAGTGTACAACACAGTGTACAACACATAATTTGAGATATTTGTCTATCATTGGACATTGTTAGCAGACAACTGAACTAGTTTGAAGTGGTCTAAAAAGTTTTTGTAGTTTAAGAAACATGCATAAATCCATGACGAGCACAATATCTTCACCTCTCTAAACTCTGGCAGATGTACACAGCACATGATTGTAGTTTGGACCAGTGACCCTTCTCACCCCTGCTTGGCAGTTGTGAAACATGTTTTGGCCTGTTATCTCTTGCCTGCCATATTAGCCCAGAGGATTTTTTTTAATGACTAATGGATATGGCTGGATATTTTGTGTTATCTGGAGGGAAACAAGGAAGCTAATGATGCCATATCTTCTGCATTACCTGTCTCTGGATGTCCAATTACCTCCTTTAGACTGAGAAATGAGAGAGGCTTGGCTAGTGCAAACTGCTAGAGTGTAAATCACTCTCTGGTCTCGCTTTTAAGCCGGACGAAGTCAAATAGAAACGGCGTCAGATTGGCAGCTGGATCAATAGAGATATTGTTAAGGGAGTTTTGTCTGACAGAACAGCATCTCACTCCTGTGATAAAAGAGAGAAGGGAGAGAAATACCTGAAGGCAGGCTAGGGACAAACAGGGGAGACTGAGGAATATCTGGCAGAAATGTGCTTTGCAATATTGAAGTCTTACAAATGATAGCAAATCACATGCTAACTGATACCTTAATGACTTTCTGAGAATGGAAGGTTATTGTTATTCATAATTCTATAATTTATTCACTCTCATGTTGTTCCAAACCTGTATTTTTTTCTATTTTCTATGGAAAAGAGATATTTTGAAGAATCTTTTCATTGTCCATACAATGAAATTCATTGGGGTCCATGGACTGTGATGACACATTTCCACAGTTATTAACATCATGAATCTATCAAAATTGTTTTATTTAAAAAAAATGTTTTAATTGCATTAAATGACAGAAAACTAGTTAACACTGCAGCTCTTAGATTTTTTCCTTTTTCCCAGCATAATCAAATGATTTTTTTTTCTATCTCTTTTCCAAAGTTATAGAAATGCTATTGTGCAATTTTTGAATGCAAAAATTATATTTGTCGTAGTTTTCATTCAACACTATAGAAATTTCCCCAACTATGACCATTTTCGCTTTTGAGAACCCCCCAAAAATGTGAAAAGAGTCCATTGACTTTTCTAGGGCAATATGAAATGTTTTCTTTTTTCCTACATTCCATTTTATTTTATAATTTTTTTTCCAAATTAATTTTTTTCCGATTTTATTTTACTGGATTCCATTTTTTCCATTTTAATAGTTAAATAAAAAAATATTAATCCAAAAGCATGTCTAATTAATTGAAATCAAGAAACCAAATCATGAAATATGTTTAAATTTTTATTCTCTTGGCTATTCTCATATTCTCATATTCAGTTAAATTTTTTACCAAATTCTGTTTTTTTTCCCCATCTGTTTTCTGGATTCAATTTGAATGGTTTTGTAAAATTTTGTAAAAGAAGCATCTCTAATTAATTGATTTAAAAAAAAAAGATAATTATTTTATTTATTTATTCAGAAACACTGTGTTGTGTATTTACATTTTTATTGTAAATACATTCTGGTAAATATTTTCTTCTGGTAAATATTCCTTAAAAATAATGTTTTAATAATTGTATTAGTAGTAATACTATCATTAAATGAAGTAATATACTGTATTTCTGTCACAGTTTCTTCAAGTTAAACTTTTATTTTTACGGGTTACTGTGAAGACCTTTATCAAAAGAAATGGTAAAATGCTCATGAAGTGACTCTTGACAGTTCTAGAGATTGTGTTCATCTAGTCATATATTGAGGCGGCAGAGGCTGAAAACACATCAAGCGTCGTGTGTGCTTTAGTATGTATGTAGTAAACAATACAGTGCGTCTGCGCCATTCATTCACACAGAGATACGCACAACATGCAGGATTCATATTTAAATAGTATTTTTGTGGCTTAATATTCACAGACACTAATCCGTATCCTGTATTGATTTAAGTGTGCTGACCTACTTTTGATTTATTCATCCAAAATTTGGCGAATTCTGTGACATTCCGTGTTATGCTGTAAATTCCATTTTTATGACTGGATTCTGTGATTTCGTCTGTATAATCTGCATCACGGAAATCATAGGGCCCTACTTTTCACAGAAGAAAGATAATCATACAGGTTTGGAACGACATGAGGGTGAGTCAAATGATGACAGAATTTTCATTTTTGGGTGAACTATATCTGTAATAGTGAATATTAGGTGTTTACCTGTTCACTTTGCCATTTTTATTGCTTTTTCCCTCATATTAAAGACAGAACATGAATCTACATGTAGAAGCGTGAGGGACTGAATCAAGATGAAATGTGCGACAGATCTTTCACAATGGAGCTTTGCGACTCACCAGGCCACAGCTCCCTCCATCTCAAGATTTTTGTCGGTATCACCCTGTACACATTATGATGATGTTTTGTGCACATTTAGTCACCAGAGACATCAGCATATAAGTCTGTGCTCTACTAATTCCTCTATATTTCATTGAAAAGCATCCATCAGCATGTGTCTCCTCGCACCTACCGTAACAGATAAGCTCAATAAGGCCCATTTATCAAGCCGTTCTCTATTTAAGGAAAGAGAGAGTGCCGATCAATACCAGGCTCCCACTGGGGTTCATTCTACACACTGGGTTGTACTGTCAGCGAATCATTATGCAACAGTAATCTCCCCAACTTGTGAAAAGAGCCGTCCATGTCCTCCAGAGAGAAGCTCCTCAGCCAGACTGATGATGAGATGAATTTTCGATCAGTGCCAGGTTTCAATGTGGTGGCTGTCTTTTTTTTCAGGAGGAAAGCAGTGCTCTCCCAATTTAGGTTGGTCTGATGAGCTCCTCTTCCTGGCTATCATGTCAGACTTTCTCCCAGGAAAGGCGGACAGGCGTTTCGCGATGGACAGCGACGTGAACAGCCGTTCTGGCTCTGAAGAGCTGGCTCTCGCACTGTGATCCTCCTGACAGGAAAATTGAGCTGTCATTCAAGGTTCTGATGTGTCGAGCCAAGATCCCAGCATTTGCATGTGGCGGCAGGGCTTTCCTTCTCACATGAAAGGGTGGAAGAAAGACGTCACTCTTTTTTGCATCACTTAGATAAAATGGGACGAGGCACGAGGGGACCTTAGAGGAGACAGGACTGATAAAGATGGAGGGACGTGTCCTTTGAAGTGACAGAGAGCTGCAAACTCGAAAGGGATGGTGTAATGTGGGTCCCAGGCAAGAAGAACTAGATACGATGGAAATTAGATTTGTGTCTCGCCGATCGATTTTTCTGGGAGGGATTGAAATATTTGTGCCAGGATTCTGTTGTTTGGGGGAAGAAAGAAAGGGAGAGAGAGAAAGTGTTGGAAATGTTGCCGTTGAAATAGAATTTGAAGTTTAATTTATAAAACGGCTCTCAAGGCACATCAGGCTCATTGGGGAGCCATATGCATGCAAATACAGTACGAATCTCACAAACTAGACCAATTCTTTTAGTGTTTTCCCTAAACAGCTGTTGTTGTTGGTGAGTTTCTTTTTCCTTGCTTTCCTTTGTCACAAAAATCAAATTAACCTCCAGCTTATCGTTATGGAGGAAGTGATATGGGATATTCTCACTGGGGTTTGATCAAGGTGAATATCAAACATGGGCTGTAAACCCATACTGTATATAGGGGGCGCTGGGACTAGTTGTCACACTTTTTAGACAAATAAATGTTTTCTCAGGGTTAGTTGGTTTTTGAAAGTTAGATACAGCATAAAGTCTTGGCTACAAAAATAACTATTACACCATGTCCATACCAAACGCGACAAGCAATTTGTCTGTCTACATCAGACGCGACATGGCTATGCAACGCGACAAAATCAATCAAATTTCACAGCCAGTCAGTGCACTGCACTCCCAACGAAAAGGATAAGTTTATAATCTAATTCATAAATATTAAACCTTTTGGTCACACTTTATTTTAAGGTCAGATTCTCGCTATTAACAAACCATCAGCTTCAACTTTTGCCACAGTAAACTACTAAATTGCTGCTTATTAATAGTTATTAAGGTTAAGGTATTGGGTTGGATTAGGGATGTTGAATATGGTCATGTAGAATATGTGCTTTATAAGTACTAATAAACAGCCAATATGTTAATAATAGGCATGCTTATAAGCAACTAGTTAATAGTGAAATTTGGTCTCTATACTAAAGTGTTACCACTATTTTTAACATTACTAAAAGTGCATACTGAGGAGTGACTGATACCATCTTTGTTAAAAGAAGAATATATTTTAAAATAAATTAATACCTTTATTTAGCACAAAATAAATTATATTCTGTTCTTTTTACTTTATATTAATCAAAGAATCCTGAAAAAATATAAGAAAATGAAACTTGAAAATATTTTAAAATAGAAAACTTTTTTATGATACATATTTCACACTATCGATTTACCAGTTTCAATTAATTGATTCTTCAGAATTTTTGATTCTGATTGGCATTCTTAGATTTTAATATATTTACTTTGTGACATTAATGTAATTGGACTTAAACCTTTATAACTGGACCGAAACCTTTATACTTACTGAGCTTGCAGCCTTTTCTGAGAGTCTGGAGTTGCCAATCTTGTTTACACCTGTTTAACGATCATTGAGTTTGGGTTACAAATGGATGATCAACTCAGTTTCAGAACCCAGCAGGAGCACAAAAAGAGCTCCATCTCCCTGTTAAATTAGTCTGGCCCGGCAGCTGTGTTTCCAGCCAAGAGTGAATGGAGTGATTGATTGAGCCTGGTGTGAGCTGAGGTGAGGGAAACAGGAAGCAGTCCATGCAGATAACACTGGTGGAGCAAACTCTATTGGCCCTAGAGTTTAATGAGGCATAGACTTCATACTGCAAATCACCACAGACCCCCGGAAGGCCAGGTGAGGAGTGTACACGTGTGTCTTTTGCCCATGTTTCTTATGCACCTGCATCAATCCCAGCATTCCCGGTTCAATGGCATTTCACAAGTACCAGCTATACGGTGTGTGTCAGAGACCACTCACCATCTGTCATAATGTCTGTCCATCACAGCAATGATGGGTTTTTTCTTCTGTTGTTTGTTCATTTTTCTTGTCGTTCATATTCGTTCTCTCTGTCTGGCTGCTGCTTGGCATCTCTTCAGTCACTCGGGGAGGTTGGCTTCCTGCCTGCAGTCTCCATGTGTGGGTCCTGTAACTGTCAGCCCTGTCGGCTGATGCTGAAATGTGCTGGGCTCCGTTTCCCGATAACGGTGTCTCTTAGCATGCTACGAAGACTCTAAAGGTATATCTTAACTAAAGGTATACCTGTTCTAGGCGTGTTTCCAGAACTATACCTTAGGATGTTGCTTAAGGTAAACCTTCTTACGTGCGACGTTAGCAGGTACTCTCCATGGCGGTGGTGCGGAATAGGTTGATATCGATGGCTCGAGAATTGATTGTTCACTACAGGAGCTCTTTCAGAAGAAAGAAGCACTTTAGAAATATTAGAAATTGCATTTATCGGGGCTCACTGCATTTACAAAATAATCCAAATTTCAAGCTAAATGCACCCTTGGATATCATATATATATATACTGTATATATATATATATATATATATATATATAT